GATGATAACACAAATAATAAAAATAAAAATAATAATAATAATAATAATAATAATAATCATAATAATAATCATAATAAATAATAATAATGATAATAACACAAATAATAATAATAATAATAATGATAATAATAATAGTAATAATAATAATAATGATAATAATAATCATAACACAAATAATAAAAATAATAATAATAATGATCATAATAAATAATAATAATGATAACACGAATAATAAAAATAATAATAATAATAATCATAATAATAATCATGATAAACATAGGCCAGAAGAACTATTTTGCAACCTTTTAAGGGATTCTTTGCTTGTACATTCAACTGAATTTCAGCTGCTCAAGCACCTTTTTAAGTGCAATAATTTTGAACTATCCAATTTGACATAATGACACTTAATTTTCAACCAAACCAAATTGTCAAAGTTCTGACTAGAATCTAAAAATTTTAATTAGCATTAGCAAAATAATAATAGATAATTAATATCTTACCTGATCATGTTTAGAGTGAGATGTCATGTGACCACTGTTAGGTTTTTTAACAGGACTCGGTGAAATATCCTGAAATGATGCAAAGTTTTAATATGGTTTTATTTCAAATTTCCACTATAAGTGATGAGAAATTTTTCTTAACATTGCTCTGTTGACTCAAACAGATCCATTAGCACCTACAATCCACCAAAATTGGCCGACATAGCAAATCAAATTTTCATGGTCAGAAAATCAATCAATAAAATATTGTGTAAGATATGGTGCAAATAATAGAACAAAAATGCAAATATAACTTAGATTCCATGCAAATATAAGATTAAAAACCATGCAATTTCATGCCATTTTAAACTTAAAATATGTACAAAATCGAAATAAGCTTTGCATCTGTTTAAATCAATTTTAAATTTGATCCATATTTTTTTCTTTATCGCTTTTATACTCTACATGAATTTTTTACAACATTTTAATATGCAGCATTAAAATGACCATAATTTATGAATAATATAATGAATCATGAAATAATTTTAAACAGATACTCAGAGATGCAGAAGTGAAAATACATCTCACTCATCATATTTCAAGTCTTCAAAACCAATGGTCACAAAAAATTTTCAAGAAAAGACTAAAGCACATCCATTAGATACCCTATGTAGGGTGGCGCTTGATTGGTGAGTACTGAACAGATTCTGTTTGTTCCCATTCTGGACTCAATCGAATGATACAGAATCAGATTATGCACATTCTAAATTTCCTTTCTATACCTTTCTCCGCCATTTTGAATTTTGTCTGCACCTACTTTTTTTTTGCACACATGGAACACGTTCTGTCTAATGTGTTCAATGATTCCCAAACAGTCAGAACTCACCAAACAAGCAGCCCCTGATTGAAATGTTCACTTCTGTACCTCACAAGAAATAAAATTGAAATAAACAAAAATTAAACAAACAGTAAGAGTGGTTGCAGTAACAGAAGTAACAGATTGTGAAGTTGGTGCCACCTTCTTCCCATCATCTTTTCTTTGATTGGCTCGATCTCTTTCTTTTCTAGATTTCAGCTTTTTCTTCTTCTTAGTTGTCTAGAATTATATTGCAGGAGTGAATATTTGTATTTATTCAAATGAAGCGTTTTAATAGTAGAAAATTATCCATATTTATATATTGAAATATTTAAAGAAATACAGAAAAAAAGACATAAGTTGATTTTCAAGTTTAATTTAGAGGTACATTTTAAAATTCCTGAGTACAAAATCACTGAAATTTTGACTATTTTGACAAATTCTGAATGAAATGAAATATATGGGAATTCACATTCTGATATTAGAAATGTTAAAATATTCTGATCAATGGCTGCAATTTTCATTAGGGAATGACCTGCCGTAGGCTACTTGCCAAGGACACTGAAAAGGAAAATTCCATGAGTAATACATAAATATTTGCATTAGATGAAGTAAATGCTCATCAAAACAACTGCAAATAGAGGTTTAGCCTTTGAAACATATGATCAAAGTAAGTAAACTTGATGAACAAATCAAGAATTTCCTAGTTTCAAAGTTTCTCGATTTAAATTTTATTGGCAAGAGATGACAGTGTTTTGTAAAAAAAAAAAAAAAATTGATTACAAAAAATTGGTAGGGAAATGGGTTTAACTTCCCAATGTTAGGGCTAAAATGTTATGTGAAGGGTTAGGCATAAAAAACAGTGTTATGGGAAAACTTATGTTACATAAAATAAGTAGGTTACAAAGTTAGATAACTCTGATTGGATTATGGTGCAAAATATGGATTTGAGGGTGATGGTTGACATGTGAGAAAAATAAAATAAAGAAAAAATTATTTTCATACTTCCAGGTCAGTCTGTAAAAGGAAATGCATCAAATTGAACAATTGTGTGTAAAAATGATATTAACTTTTGTCAGCTTGCTAGCCACATTTTGAAAGAATCATCAAAGATGTGCCAAAAGATGCACTTTTGTGTTGGATAATATTCTTGATACTTCATAATACTAGCTCGCAATTAAATTACCATAATAAAAAACATAAATGTTGTTGGATATGAAGGATCTAAAATTGGACACATTGCTGCCATTCTTCACAGCTTCATAGAGAAAGTCATTTTTGTATATTATCTATTATTAAAGGGACAGATGCAGCATTTTGGGGGGTTGGTTTTAGTCTTGAATATATGTTAATAGTCTTCAGAAGTACTAAAAATGTACGAAATTGCATTAATTCCTTTAAACATAGTTCGAACTAAGAATTTTTCTCACTATTTCTATATATGTCTTTTCTGTATATCACAGAGTATCATTCAAATGTAGATAACTCTTAACATACATGGATTTGAAGGCTCATATTTGGACAGTGTGCTGTGAAAACTATTACTGTTTGGCTTAGCTAAAAAATTCCTATTTCTGAGACTAAAGTATGATTCGTCCAAAAAACTGATGCAGCTGCCCCTTTAAAATTTAAGAACTTATCCATCCAACCTCACAAGAATAACTCAGTGATTTTGTTTCTCCCAAAAGCAAGTCAATGAGATAAAAGGGTCAGAATAAGAACTTCTGAGAATTCTGTGAGGTTTGAAAGATAACACTTTGCCTTATCAGTGAAACTCTGTGCCTTACAAAATAGGCAAAAGATTAATGAGGATTAAATCAAATCCCTGCTTTATTTAGGTAGCTTACATTGGAGATTAATTGAAAGGAATTTTACAGCAATGATACTTATATCTATTTGGAGAATATAATAATTGAGTCCAGACTTACCCTTTGTGAAGAATATTGTAAATGAATTGGAGGACCATCAGATACTGAGCTGTCCGATCCACCATCACTACAAAATAACAAATTAACATTATAGTGGTTGGGTTTACTTAAAATTCTTTTTTTTTTATATATATATTTTTTTCCCATTGTAATCTAACTAGTTTTCTTCCATAGTCTTGTTCTAATGTTATTATTTTTAACTAATCAAAGTGTGTAATACATATGATCCCATAAAGAGTAACCTAGAAAACAGGTTGTTGAGAATGTATTCTTCCTATTTAGGATTTGGTTAGTATCAACAGATTAGGGAGGTAGGATCATTAAAATGCTTAAGATTTTAAAGTTTTCTTACCTTGATTCTAAGTCAGATTCTAAATCACTCATATCTAGATCATTAGGTGACGTCACTCCTTGTTTCTCCATCCTAGACAAAATTTCTTTACGTAATTTCTCTTCTAGGTCTAGATAGATATTAGCACACTGAAATTCAAATGTGAAAGTATCAAGTTTACAAGTGAGGTTAAAGGGAGCATGCATGCCAGTTTTGTAAAGAGAAGTGACTTTATCCAGGGTTCATACCGCACTTTGCCTCAAAAAGTCAAAGACTTTTCAAGGACTCTGGGCTTTGAAATTCAAGGACTTTTCAAGGATATTAGTCTGACAGAATACACATGTACCTTACTTCTGAACTGTGAAATCAATAAAGATAGTTAATATTTGTCAATGGGGTTAATGATAAAATATACACAATTTGACTAATTCAAGGACTTTTCAATTTGACAAATTCAAGGACTTTTCAAGAGAAAATGGGTTTTTTATGGTGTTTTCAAAGACTTTTTTTGAAATCAAGGCTTTTCAAGGCAATGGACAGAATTCGAGGGTTTTTCAAGGCTGTGCAAACCCTGTTTATTCTTGCTCCCATTGTTCAACAATATCTGGGTTTTTGTAAATATTGTTAAGTCAGTTATTGTCAGTGGAGAGAGTGATCTTTGGTGAACTTGTTGGTTATATATTTTCCTAAAACAATTTTCTCTTTGTTACAAACAAAACTTAACTTTCTAAAAATATACATTGTAAATAAACGTACCGTGCAATTTTTAAGGTGTTTTGACTGTAAAAAAATCAGTCAATGCCAAGTGATTTTATAGTCCTAATATAAATGTAAATAGATTCTGTCATATTTTAAAAAAACAATTAGGGCTTTAAATGACATGAGACATGGAAAATTTCAACACCTCCTATTCTTTAAAAAAGGATCACTGGGTATTCAAGAGTAAAGAAAACTTACCTTGGTAGCGTCAGGATCACAATAATCTAATAATGTGTCACAGAAGTAATAGCCTAATGCTTCAAAATCTGCTACTGAAAAATGGCTGCCTTTCTTTTTACCCAGTGATGACCCACAGAATGTTGCCTGCAATTAATATGAAACAATTTGCATCAAAAACAACGTAAACCTAATGGTCTTTACAAGGTGATTTAGTTTACTATAGGTTGATGGGATGGAGCATAGACTACATTTCTCAGTTGAGTATTGATATTTAGGCCACAGCATAGCATCAGCCAAAGCTCTTGGTTTTATTTGGATCACCATCATAGCATGAAGTCATCAGTAATTAATGATCTAATTCCCTACTAATTGAGCTATCATGTAAGTTTTCCTATATTTATAATTATAAGTTGGTTAAATTACCTCCATTGTAAAGCTATTGAGAACACCCATATTCCATACAACAATTCTTCCTGTACCTTCTTTACTCTTCTGTACTTTAAATTTACATGAATTATAACTAAACTGAAAGTAGCAATTTTAACATGAATGTAGCAAGCATCACATCAATACAATCTAATACAAATTTAAAACTGCCTGCCAGAAATTAATTAATCATCTTTTTTATGTAGGCCTACATGAGTGAACAAGTCAACACCAAACTTAAATAATTGAAATGAAAGTTTTGGGTGTTTTTGCAACAAAAAATATTTGTAAACAGGTGCACCCCTCTGAATATCTAATGGCTACTTGACTAGGTTTGTCCACTTGGCATTCCATTTAGAACATCTATTTGGTATTTTATAAGTCGACTTACTGAATGGGGAGCATTTTTTGACAACATGCAGGGAAATATTCTTTCTCTTAGTCTTTTCTCATTATGTTTATTTTCACAACCATAAATAAAGACATTTTGTCTTCGACTATGACCATGTAAATCACAATACACCACTATCTCTCTTTCTTGTAACAACCTATAAAATAAATGAATGAAATGCAATGAAATCTATCATCTAACTTTTCTTAACCGGATTTGGTATAATGAAGATGATCAATGCTATTTGGCAAAGACAGCAACATTATCCTACTCTCTTTCAATTTCCAACTATCAAGGGATCTTAATCAACACATGGGACCTCAGTTTATTGTCCTAACAGAGCAACTTCTTCCATGTCAGTCACAGGGGGGAAACTGTGTTCAAAACTCTGGTTTATCTAGACCTATTCCCTGCTTAACCCTGAGCCTGGACCTATAGGTTAGTTAGTAAGCAACTTACTCAGAGCCACAGCGGCCCAAAAAATCTACAACAGTAAACAATATTGAGAAATGATGCATATGAAGTAAATGTTTTTAATCCCCTCAGAAGTGAGGAAATTTAGTGACTTACTTTCTGATCATACTTCTGGTATGCCATACAGAAGGGTAGGCATCTTTTAACATTGTTTTATAGTTTCTGTTTAAATCACGACCAGCCAGTGAACATCTATAATTGCCTACTATAACTCCATCAGGATTTAACATTGGTACTATTTTAAATATAAATGTATCCCTTAACAACTGAAAAATCAGAAAATCAAAATCTACAAATAAAGATAAGAAATTATGCAATATGCTTCAAAGCAAAACCTTTTCCAGGAAACCAACAGAACTCATTTTAATACTTTGAAACATGATCAGTCTTTAGCCAACATGTTACCTCATGTCTCAAATGTCCTTCAAACTACTAGATGCTTTTTCATGTGTACCCTTTTTTACTCTGTATCGAATAAATTTACCCCAAATAACAATGTAATTGATGGGAAACTCGATTACTTATGTACTGATACTTACAAACCCCTTGTGAAATGTTTGACTCATATCAATTGAATGTTGGACTTTTTACATCCTTTTACATGCGTTTAGTGTCCCATGAAAAGTCAAAGTGTTAAAACTAAAAGAAAAGATAATTTTAGTGCAAACCTTTGCATCTGCTGAGTTTCCAGTAAGATAGTCTAAAAATCCCTTCATCATCCAACTTGAATTACTTTCACCAGGATGTACTCTAGATGTTAATACAACAGCTTTCTTGTGCTACAACAAAATATTCCAGGATACCATATTGGAGTGTTATAAAAATAATAATAGAGATCAAACAAAGGATGTTTTGCTTATTTACATGGTCAAATACTCTTATCTCGATTGGTGAATGAAAGTGCCGAGAGGTATCATTGATAATCATTAATAATGATTGAAAATGAAATAAATTGGATTTTGCGTCTAACATTTTGGCTTCTGATTAGGTCTTTTCACTTCAACTCCACAAACTGGAAGTGTCTAGCATAAGTACATCTAGATATTGTCAATATACTCACTTTCAAATCATCTGGATGTTGAGAAGGGGAGGTAATTGTTAATAAATATACTAAATTCCCAGCAATTGTTCTGCACAATACCCTTTGTTTACAAATTCTTGATTTAATAGGATCATTTGATAATTCTAATAGGTAATCCTGAAATTTCAAAGAAGCTATTAATAAAATTAAAGTTTTCTAGCAAAATTATTGTATCTATAACTTTTTACAACCAACAACAGAATCAGACTACCCAACAATTTGATGTGCAAACATGATTAAGATTTTGATGTTACGAAAGTTTTTGGTGCAGCTTAAGACATTAAAAACCCTTCATAAAATGCTGTTCTCGGACAGAAATTTAAACTTCCAAATAATAGCTCATTGGTTCACAACATTTTAGCGCCCAGCCATACATAACTGCTTAATACAACCAAATCAACAACCCTGTTCAATCCATTGTAAATATACTAACCTGTAAGTCTGTATAGGTGTAAGGATAACAATGTGAGAAATAAACATCATCATTACCATGAGTAAACTGTGTTGTCCATGTTAATGAATAGAATGACTTATCTCCCTTTGTTGTTTCATACCTAGAAATAAGCATGCATGACAATAATTACCTTTCTTCAAACAACTTCATATTGTGATATTGCGGAAAGGAAATTGCAGAATATCTGGTAACATCTTGATGCACTCATTAATGATTCTGCTTTGTATAGATACCCAAAGTTATGCCAAATTGCAAATTCTCTCAAAACTAGCAATTCAAAAATGGATCAGAGCAACTTTCATAAAACGTGACACTTTATATCTGGTTCTTAATGTGCCAATAATTCATTAGTAGATCACATTCGAGGAACAAGTAGGAATAAATTGGTCTTACTTTAAATTATTTCTATAATATTTAATATCAGTTCCAGCTCGTATCCACCCTATTTTCTTCTGTTGAGCTGATTTCTCACTGTACATCAATGGTTTCATCCCATAATTATATAAACTATCAGGCTGAAATACAGATAGAAATGCAAATTTACCTCATTGTGCAATACATGGTGTTATTGGTCACCATAAGCTCAAAATAATACAGAGAGTAGGATTAAACAAGATTAATTGAAGAGTTCTCAAGTTATGCTATTTACCTTACCCAAAGTCAAATCAAATAATGTTGCACAACTCATTTGCTAAAATAATATATGAATAATAGAGAGACCAGACAGTAGAACTCAACAAGTACAAGTTATTTGATAGAAATTATCAAGTTGAATCATTTGTTATACAGATACTTTTCACCTTGCCTAAAGGCACATCAAATAATATCATACAACTCATTCTATAAAGTTTTAGTTTCCCTACACAATAACTAAACTAAAATACAACTTGAAATACCTTCATAAAGTTAACAATAGTAAATCGGTATTTAATATTAGGTCTAGTGTTTTTAACTCGGAAATAATACCATTGTGTATGTTTAGATGTAAATAAATCATATCTTAGATATAGTTCATAATCATATTCTCCCCTGTAAATAAATAGAATATATAAATAAATCATATCTTAGATATAGTTCATAATCATATTCTCCCCTGTAAATAAATAGAATATATAAATAAACCATATCTTAGATATAGTTCATAATCATATTCTCCACTGTAAATAAATAGAATATATAAATAAATCATATCTTAGATATAGTTCATAATCATATTCTCCCCTGTAAATAAATAGAATATATAAATAAATCATATCTTAGATATAGTTTATAATCATATTCTCCACTGTAAATAAATAGAATATATAAATAAATCATATCTTAGATATAGTTCATAATCATATTCTCCACTGTAAATAAATAGAATATATAAATAAATCATATCTTAGATATAGTTCATAATCATATTCTCCCCTGTAAATAAATAGAATATATAAATAAATCATATCTTAGATATAGTTCATAATCATATTCTCCCCTGTAAATAAATAGAATATATAAATAAATCATATCTTAGATATAGTTCATAATAATATTCTCCCCTGTAAATAAATAGAATGTATAAATAAATCATATCTTAGATATAGTTCATAATCATATTCTCCCCTGTAAATAAATAGAATATATAAATAAATCATTTCTTAGATATAGTTCATAATCATATTCTCCACTGTAAATAAATAGAATATATAAATAAATCATATCTTAGATATAGTTCATAATCATATTCTCCCCTGTAAATAAATAGAATGTATAAATAAATCATATCTTAGATATAGTTCATAATCATATTCTCCCCTGTAAATAAATAGAATATATAAATAAATCATATCTTAGATATAGTTTATAATCATATTCTCCCCTGTAAATAAATAGAATACTGAAAAATACAGTCTTGAGAAAGAACTTTGCAAAGTCTGTTAAAGTGAAGTATGTAAGGTAAAGGTATTTGTGCTGACTAAGGTATAATTGGTAAAAAAAATGCTGCATCTGTCCCTTTAAAGTAGGACAAACAAATTTTTTTTTCTAATTTGTGAAAACTATATACGAAAATCTAAAAATCTAAAATCTGATTGTTTTAACTGAAAGTATTTTGCCAAATCGTAATGAAACATGTCTCTTATTTATTTTGAAGGTTTCTCTTCGTGTTTGTGTTTATGTTTTGAATTGTCCCAAAATATGCACAAATATCTTTGCTTGAAAATACAGTTTATTTGACTGATTTTGTCATAATATTATTTAACAAAATGTTTCAAACGTCATAAAAGCATTATTATTTTGCATAAAAACAAGAAGAGACGTTTCATTTTAAGTTGAGCAAAAATAACACTTACACTTTAATAGCTTTAGCCAGATTACCACTTTCAAATCTTGATTCAAATACTAAAGTTGTATCTTCTGGTGAAGTTGGTATATAACTTATAGCATCACAACCATTTCTAGATCCTCCCACACGGGATCGTACAAACTGTTCAATAATTAATAAGTTAGAAAACAGTCATAACTATGGATTCTGGATTTTTGAGTCAATTTTTGACTTAGGCCTACATTAAATGCCCGTAAAGCCTATACTTGATATCTGACAGAATCTGTTTAAGTATAGTGCTTTAATTCACGTCAAATTCATCAAGTTATGAAAAAAATTATGGAAGAGGTCTGCCATTGATTGCCTTAGCTACTACTAGATGTTGCCAAACCTACAATAAAAGCCAGATATGACAATCCCATCAGTCTGCTGGTGATCAGATGTTGAACTGACCTATGGCAGACACACAGACTTGAAAAGTAAGTTCCTTATTCTATTCATAATCAATGAAACTTACAAAACTGGCTTTCGGTTCATAACTGAACACAACTTTTCCACCATAGTCTTCTCCAATCCAGCTGTAAAAGTTCAGCTCAGAATATTTTAGAGAATTCTAATCTTTAGATATTGTAGAGATTCAAGGAGACTTTGGGAGAAGTTCAAATGAAATGCAATAGAGTTGCTGGTATACTTTTGACTTGTCCACTCCAGATTGGACTAATGAAGGTGGACTAGAAATTCACTTTTATCAATTAGTTCCATATGAAAAATTGTCTAATTTTTACATGAAATTAGAGCGGAATTTCCAGTTTCCAGTTTTTTTCTATTTTATAGATTTGACTAGGGGAATGAGTGCCAACTTAAATATAACAGATCACTTTAAATAAGTTCATGTCTTCTGCTCTTGCAGCTGATAGAACTGTTCAGTGTTTTGTAGTACTTTTTAGAATGAAAATCTGATCTCTTTGAAAAGTGACATTGACAGCTGAAAATGAGCAGCATAAATAATCAAATAAGTTTCATACTTAATTTATAAATTGGTTCAGGCTCAGTAGGAATATATCTAATATGGTTTATTCTGCCGTTTTCTACTTGTAAATCAGCTGGCCTACAAAAGAAAATTTGAAATCAGTTTATACAGCATTATTAGTATTCCAGTGGACCCACTTGTAAACAAAAGATGTACACCTCCAATTGTTTCCATCTTCAGAATTTAATATGCTTTTATTCCTGCAAAACATCAGTTTCTCTTAATCTTCATTACAGTCAGTGTTAAAATGGGCCACAACAACTGTCATCCCCAGATGGAATTTCAGGCAATATTAGAAAGATGCTAAGTAAAACTAGTAGAAGATACAAGCGTCCCCAATGCACTTATCAAGGCAAACTCTTTAATGTTACTTTAAAAGGGATTGATATCAATCTAATCACAAAATATCAGATGAAGATTGTATACTTACCATCTTGCTGCCTGTTGAGGTCCTGGTTCTTTTGATAAAGCATATAAATTTCTGGGCTCACGTAATTTTGGAACCTAAAATTAGTCATAGAAATCATAAAATGATCTTGATCAGAAACTGTGCAATACACAAAGATACTGCTAATACTGTCCCGAAACATTACTAAACCAACCATATATAAAATTTCTAAATCAATTAATAACTGTTCATTATCATTCTTATATAGATTACAACCTACATGTAACTGCTCTATTTAAAGCAGGTAGAGATTGACTAGACATTGCCACTACCAGTCATGCTGGTCTCATACAAGCATGGTTCTTTTATGCTTATCAAGCTTGTCATGTCCTTGTACATCTACCCAATGAATATCATGTTCGTCTTGAGCTACATTAAGAAACTCACCATTTTGCCTGCTTCAAAATTATAAACCAGTTGAGTGGTACGTAACAATTCTTCTTGTGTTCGGTTATCTACAAAATATGGTTTAGTCTAAATAAAGCCATCTTTTTACATTTATACATGTAAGATTTAGTATTTTGCACAAATGAAGACAAATCAAAACATGAATATGAAAATATAAAATATAGTAACCACAGATGACCCTGGTAAGACATCACATTCACAAAGGCCCTCAGATAATAGATATAATGAGTAGATTTTACGATAATGATGTCATTTAAGTTTTAGTTTGGTCGAAAAAATAAGAAACGTCTGACTGAGCTAAGCCAATCAGTAATAGTGTTCACTGCTCACCGTCAAAATATGAGCCTTTAAATCCATGTTTGTCTAGAATTATCCGACTCATCAATTGAAGGGATTGTATAGAAGTTTTCTAAATTTTTTATGTGCAACGAGGACACTGATAGCATCAATTTGCAAAATCCCACATTTTAATCAGACGTCTGTGGTCCCTGCAAAGCCACTAAGAATAAGTATTTGATGCTGTCACTAATTGCCAAATTTGCTTTATCACACAAGGCCATTCAAGATAAGTGACATCATCGAACACTAAGTTTTAGTGTAATTGCAGGAATCACAGATGTCTGATTGAAAATTGGAATGGTGTAAATTGATGCTCTCTGTGTCCCCGATACACATACAAAATTTTGAAACCCTCTTTACAATCTCTTTAACTTAGTTTATTTTTTCTACACTCATTTTCTGTGTCAGTTGAACGTATGTACCAATGTAGACAATGAAATGCAGATATGTTCAGGTAAAAGAGGCAGACCAACATCCCAACAGGACATAAAAAGCTATACCTGCATCTTTATAGAGTTGAATTTGATCTAGTTTAACCAATGCTGTGTCATGCCACACAGAGTCATTATTACTAGCTAGAAAGTTATCCCAAATGTCATAGTCATCACTATCACTTGAGTCATCTAACTGGTGATCCATCCTTCAATCTTGTAGACACTCCTGTTCAAAGTCCAAATCCAGGTTTATCATGAGACTGTAGAGTTAGTTTGGAGTTAGTCTAACAATGATAATCAGTTTATCAACTGAACTAATAATATTAACTAGGAAGTCAGTTGTTCAATTCTTCAAAATATCTCAAATCTAAATATGCTAAAGAAGCTTGACTAGAAAGATCACTAGATTCCACCTTACAAAGTTTGCGGTGCCTACACTATCAGACTATAATCCAAAGACTGGCTCGTATTCAGCTATCCAAAAGAATACAAAGCCAGTTATATTCTAATACTGCAATCAGTCATCAAAGCCTACATGTGGACAGTTAAATACAAGGACTGGATTAATTATCAAAAGTATTCAATCCCACAATTTAAGGCTGCCTGTTATCCAAAGCATGCATGGTCATTTATATCCCAAGTCTGCACCAAGATCATCAGTTACCCAGCATCTTCAATTTAGTTATCTACAGATTCAAGCTTTTCAATACCTACAAGGTTAGTTACATCAAAAGTTATCCCAGTTTTATCTACAGACTTTTTTTTCAAAGTTTATTGAACATTGAATCCACAAATAATCAAGTCCTTAAAGAAAGTGAAGGCAAACAGAAAACCAATACAATTTGACAAAAATTTAGTCCACAATAAAAAAACACAAAACCCCTGAGAATCACAAAAAAGCCAAAATGACCATCAAAACATAATCTGTACAAAACACTTAAATAAATCTGAATACCAGTAATAGATTAAGATAATCCTTCCTTAATCCAGGAGATTATAAGATATCAATTTACTTTAATCCTAGCAATAACAAACAGCTCCAAATATAAACTTTCTGTATAGGTATTAGGTAAGTACCCATATAACCATCAAGTTGTATATATCATGAAAGAGTCCACGTATCCACTATTGTGATATTAGAATGCCAAAACCTTTGGGCAATATTCAAGGATCAAAGTACAGAATAAGAAAAATAGAGGAAATGGGGTGTGGGTGACATTGTTATATTATACCATTTTAACATGCTTCCAGATTTATTTCCATTAACTAGTCATCTGCTAACCAAACAGCTGGTTTGAAAATGGGGGTTACCTTTCCAATATTTGAACTTGAGACATATAAGTAAGTAAACTCATTGAACAGGAGTCAGAAGACAACAACATAATTATTTGTCAGTATTGTGTTATAGAAGATACTATCTTGTAAAAGCACTGGCCATATAAAGATTGTATCATATATATTTAGGATTGTGGCTATGAATTGTTTGTATATCTTTCAAAATGTCCTTTAATATATATAGTAAAAAAGCCTTTCTTTTTGAGGCTTCTCCACTTGAAAACTGCAATAATACGTTTGGAACTAGTTAATCATAAGACATCACTTTACCTTTCATAATCATGATTATAACAAGAATTTTACTCACCTCTGCCTGATTTTCCATCGGAATCACTATCACTGTCACTATCACTATCTAGGTGATAAATATGATTTTTTTCCCAATCAGCATAAGATCGAAATGAATTCCTGTAATTCTGATTTCTTCCTGCAATTAGATTCCAATATAGACTTCACAAATGCTGTGGCATTCTATAAATCATTTTGTGAGTTCTTTTACTATTTATATTTTGAAAGTGATGGAGCCAAAGCCAGGCTGGCAGCTTATTTGGGGCGACTCCTCAAAGAAACAAATTATGAAAATGAACATCTTGAATTATTTCATACTTGAATTCATTTTGTTTTTCAGAAAACAAGAAAGGTGGGGGTACCCGAGTTCAGATTTTGTCATTGATTCTGTGAGGTTGGAAAGTTTTCAATCTAATCATCCAGCGGAGTTCGCTGGAGCGCCTGATGGTTGTTGATTGTGACAAATCCGGGTTGGTGTCTAATTGTTTGATGATCTGGTAGTCGACGTTACGACTAGAATGGCTTGGTTGGTGGAAGTGGGCGGAGACGGGGGTGTCTCTGCTGTGTTTGATATCAGCAAAGTGTTCTTTCAGCCTGATGCGAAATTGTCGTTTAGTCTCGCCAACATATTGTTTCTGACAAAGGTTGCAGGTAAGGAGGTATATAACGTTTCTGCTAGTGCAAGTCCAATCTTTGGGACTGTTGTAGGATTTGCCAGTGTTGGTGGAGCGGAAGGTTTTTTTAAGATTAAGTGTTTTGCAGAATTGACAATGGGAGAGGTTACATTCAGCGTCTAAGTAGTTGTATGTTTTACCACTAACTTGAGGCCTTGGAGCGGGGTTTCTGATGGTGGCTGAGGTTAGGAGATCGTTGAGAGAAG